TAGATACATTAACAAACTTAACTTCATCATATATACTTTCTTGATCGGTAATTAGAGTCAAATATTTTTCATGTTTTCGATCTGAGTTAGTTTTCAGGTTTGTTTCGAATCCAACAGTTAATTCAAGAATGTACAAAATCTTATTTTCAATTGTCAATAGAAGGTCTGGTCGTAACTCGTCACCAGTGATGACAGATGGGCTAATAAATCCAGGCAGATCTACATACATTTTGGACCTAATAATAATAATAATAATTTTTTTTTATTTTTTATTTTTTAAATTTAATAATAATACAACTTTATTCATCATTTCATTATATACAATAATTCTTTTGTTATCAATGACTATATTAAATAATAATAATAATAATAATAATAATAATAATAATAATATTAATAATAAAAATAATAATATTTAATATTATTATTGCGCAAATTACCATGTTATAGTATATGATCAAATATAATTAATTCAAGAATGTACAAAATCTTATTTTCAATTGTCATTAGAAGGTCTGGTCGTAACTCGTCACCAGTGATGACAGATGGGCTAATAAATCCAGGCAGATCTACATACATTTTGGACCTAATAATAATAATAATATATATATATATATTTTTTTTTTAAATTTAATAATAATACAACTTTATTCATCATTTCATTATATACAATAATTCTTTTGTTATCAATGACTATATTAAATAATAATAATAATAATAATAATAATAATAATAATAATATTAATAATAAAAATAATAATATTTAATATTATTATTGCGCAAATTACCATGTTATAGTATATGATCAAATATAATTAATTCAAGAATGTACAAAATCTTATTTTCAATTGTCATTAGAAGGTCTGGTCGTAACTCGTCACCAGTGATGACAGATGGGCTAATAAATCCAGGCAGATCTACATACATTTTGGACCTAATAATAATAATAATATATATATATATATTTTTTTTTTAAATTTAATAATAATACAACTTTATTCATCATTTCATTATATACAATAATTCTTTTGTTATCAATGACTATATTAAATAATAATAATAATAATAATAATAATAATAATAATAATAATATTAATAATAATAATAATAATATTTAATATTTATATTGCGCAAATTACCATGTTATGGTATATGATCAAATGCGCATATAAAAACCATAAGGGCTTCCATATCCATAAAATCCCGTCAGGAACAATCAACTATTATCGCTCAAACTTTGAAAGAATATGTAGTCAATTTACTCCGATTACACGACACTTCAGAGCAGCATGAATTCTCAATAAGCATGCACGGCAGCACTGGTCCTGGCGAGTCGGGACAATACTGTTACGGTGTAAAAACATGGAGCTATGGAATGTTAAGCCCGTTTCCAAATTGGGTCTTTGAAGTAATGTTTAACCAAGTATATTCATTTTCTACATATCTTTGTTTAATTACTTTTCTCGTATTCTTTTAAGTTTCGTTTCGCAAAAATTTTCCCTTGAACAACATTAAGCCCCACTAATAATTTCCAAACAAATTTTTACAATTACATTACAGATTGTTTACCGGCCTGCGCTTGCACACTAAGATCTGTTAATTGCATGATAACAGAACTTGGTGACGCTGCTTCTTCCTCCTAGCTAGAACAACCTTTATAATTAAGACAGCCCCATTATACTTCGAGTCAGCCTGCATCAAATAATTACAAATAAAATCTCCATGAATTACCTAGCTGGCATACACCTGTGAAAAACATGGGGCTGTGCAAGGTTAAGCACGGTTCCAAATTAGGTCTTTGAAATAATTTAACCAAGTACGAAGTAACTTCGCATTGTTACCAAGCATATTCATTTTCTACATATCTTTGTTTAATTACTTTTCTCATATTCTTTTGAGTTTCTTCGCCAAAATAAATTATTAGGAATTTGCCCTTGAACAACATTGAGTCCCACTAATGATTTCCAATCAAATTTTTAGAAGTATTTACAGGTTATTTACCCGCCTGGGCTTGCACACTGAGATCTATTAATTGATAACAGACAGTTGGAGACGTTGCTTTTTCCTAGTTAGAACAACCTTTAAGACAGATCCATTCTATTTCGAGTCAGCCCGCATAAAATCTGCATGAATTACCTGGCTCCAAGTCCTATATATGCCTGGATGTACTGTAATAAATAAGCTAACACTAGTACTTACCTAAAGACTTGAGAAGCTTTACATCCTGCTTGTACTTGTGATAACTATCGCAGGCAACGTCTCCATTATGATTTCCCCATACTTTTCCCGGTGTATGAGAAAACGTGTCCCAAATGTTGACACCCTTACCATCAGCATTCCAAGCACCTTCAATCTGATATGCTGAGCTTGCGCAACCCCATATAAAATCCTTTGAAAACTCACCTCGAAATAACTCTGCTTGACTTACGCTCATGTAGTTTGAACACAGAGCTAAGGCAAGGATAAGTGTATGTCTTAATGCCATGACTATAGGTTTTCTTGCAGGAATGCAGTGCAGTGTGGTACCACCTACCGTATTTACCGCCTTATCACCTCCAGTAATTTCAGTAATTTTTTAAATAAACTGGCGACTTGTAATAGCCTGGCAAGCAGCACTCTGTACAATGAGCTGGCAGATGTCATGCGTCACGCCTTTGTAGCATGAAACCAAACCCCAGACTCCGCGCGTTCAATTCTTTAGTTTCTAACATTAAATGGAAATGTAGAAAAGCTGCCTATATTTTCCATAACACCAACGGACGTGGTATTTCATTTCCAAAGCGAGTGGTATTTCATTCCAAAAAGTGTACGGAGGGATGGCTGCATGCAGACCCAACTTAAAAATCAGGCATTTTTCTTAAAAGTCGGGCAATTCTACTTACTGAAATTGGGCAAATGATGAAAAGGACGTATAATAGTCGAAAACAGAAGAAATATGCAACGTTGTATCGAAAATGGCGGATCTCCAACACCCCCCCCCCCCCGAAAA